CACACACACACACACACACACACACACACACACACACACACACACACACACACACACAGACATATCGCTTTTATTTTCGTAAGTTTATGAAGCATAAATACTGGTAGGAAAAATACGTAGACTGGCCTGGTTGTACGAAGCCTCGATAGCGCTATCCGGCGGATAACGTCCTTATCCAGTGGATAAATCGATGCTGTTATCCAATAAATTTATCCACTGGATAAGATTTATCCGTCGGATAGCGCTATCCAGGCTTCGTACAACTGGGACCTTGTGATAAAAAAATTAAAGTAAACTCATAATTATCTTATGTTTTGAACGTTTGTCCTTTGTCGGAGTGATCAATTGTTTACATGTAATGGTTGAGAAGATACATTTATTATGAATTAATGCATTATAGAAAGTTATTCTCAAGGGAATTACGCGAATGACGCGTGGTCAATACACTGATCCCGCATCCATCATCATTCTACCTCCGTAGTTACTGTTGCTAACGTCGGACAAGCTAAAATGTGTTTTTGATATACAGTATGGAAAAGACACTGTCTGTATTAGAATCAATGCATTCCAAAGGTAGATTAAAATAAGAATTCGAAAACTACTAAAAGATCTTATGAATACGAGTTTGTTGGTCAGATCGGACTTATTCCATTGGGAAAACTACCCATTGTTTGGATGGACACTCAAGCATAATTATCTATTTGTAAACTAAAGACAATAAAGCACTCACTAAGAATTTGTTTATAAAGGTAGAACTAAAGGTTTTGTTGCAAACAGAGAAATAAGAGTATGCTTCTACCTTATCTATCTATTTATTTAATTTTTTTTTGATCTTGCAGAAACTTTAATTTGATTTAAGATGACATCTGAACGGCTGACCAAGAACGGTTATACAGCAGTAGCATGCTATATGGGGTTTCTGCTCTCGGCAGGAACCGTTGTCCAGATCATCACCACGAGGGTTCTTCTTCTCAAAGACAGTGGCAAACGACAGCTTATTCCTTATCTTCTTAACATCGTGGTGTCCAACAGTTTGGTCATTCTTGGGAGTTTCCCAACGACTTTCATCTCATCTTTAAGAAATGGATGGTACTTTAGCGATGCTGTTTGTCGATTTAGTGGATTGATTGCTGGCGTGGGATGCATCGCAATGATTGCAACGATGGCTTGTATAACCGTCAAAGTGCATTTTCTAGTGAAGCACCAGAATGCAGTTGTCAATCATATCATTAACAAACCCGAAGGTAAATCCTATATCAAAGTTCTGGCAGCAATATGGATATATTCCTTCCTTCTGATGCTTCCACCGATTGTTGGATGGACCGACATGGAACTAGAGGCAGCAGAAACGAACTGCGTTCCCGACTGGTCGCCAGAAAGCCTTCCTGATAAGATCTACATTATATTTATGTTTGTTTTTGCTTACGTCGTTCCTGTCGGATTGTCGATTTGCTTTCTCTTTAAGACTCAAAGAAAGTTGTCATCTCACATAAACGACATGGGCCAACAGTTCGCCAATATTCGACTTGGCAGCTTGAGGAGCATCTACAAAATGTCAGCAGTTGCCGTGATCGCCTTTTCGTTAGCTTGGCTGCCGTACGGCTTGTTCGTGGTTATTTCTCTTTCCACGGGRAATAAGAAAATTTTTAGTCCTGAAGGAACAATGATACCGGCGTTGACAGCTAAGACTAGCGTAATCATTAACCCTTTCATCTATGCTCTCGTGCTTCCAAGGTACGTTGACATTGAAAAAAACCTCCAGCTGATTATTACTTTGTTTAACAATTGCACATGAAAAGACACTTGAATAGTGGATAAAACTCAAACAAAGAATATTTTTCTCAAGGGAGTGACACTTGGTCTGAAATGGGAAATTTAGCCCAAGTGGATTTGGTCTAACCATACTCATTGATATTACTAAGCATGAGTATGTTATTTGCATTTGCACTGTTCGTGTGAGACAGGCTAACGTCGGTTTAAGACTCACAGTTGTAGAAGTAGGATACCGGCAAAGCCATCCAAGCAAACCGATAAAAAGCAACACCAGAGAGCAACACAATACAATTGCAAATTCTGAATCCATATAATGGGCTTCATGACTAATATAATTATTTCTTTTCTTTCAGATTTCGGCAATCCGTCATACGTCTTTTCCTATGTAATAAAGGTAACATAGGTTCGCAGAACGACAATGCCATTGCTGTAGAAGCAAACTTGAACTCAAACCGTCTGGTTGGAAAACGTGGATCTCAGATTGTAAATGACGGGAATGGATCTGGGACTAAGCTGCCAAAAGTGGAGGATCAGCACGTCCGTAAATAGCGTAAGTGTTGTTCCTTTACTATATGTGTTAAATAGGTAAACTGCTTTGTTTGTATCAATTTTTTTTCGTATGAGTGAGAAACTAGCTTGCAGCACGTATACACGGTTCGACATGATGTAATAGTTAAATGGCTTCCCATAAGAATGGTTATCGTATATGAGTGGTAAACGTCACCGTACTGACTTACAGCATGCACACACAGCGTTCAAGTTAATTGGTTTCTCATTGTACAGCAGATTTTCTTATTATACTATAAATGTGTAGTTGTAGGGCAGCCCGGTACCGTAGCGTTGCGACTGAATGAAGCGCGTGAAAAAATAGGAAGCCTTCTTGGTATTACTACAAGACATACCGTGTCAGTGCACTTCATATTTTGCGATCATCCGCGCTTCCTTACTGATTCATGACCACGGAGGCAACTACGTACAGTCTACCATCGCGAACGCTGAATAGGATTATGATAAACGCCGATCAAAGCGTTTCCAGACATGGCCGCAAACATTGTCCAAGGACACGCCGCCTGCCTATGCAAATACCATGAAACGCAATGCCATGAAGACTGCTTCGATTCCGTGCGTGCTATTGAGAGGAACTGTAGTATCACGTAGCGAGGACACTGTAAGCTAAACTTAACGAATTTCAACGAATTCCTAATAGTTTCCACTTATACGAAAACTGCTCTATTCATGAAGAAATAGAAGACGCGCGCATGTGCTGTGTGCAGTTATAAAGCACGCGGGGGTTGGCAGCCCGAGAGAAGTATTAGGAGGAGCTGCATGAAGCACGCGTAGCGGAGTGCATCTCGACACTTCTCGAGTGTTCTGCCAATCTCTAAGTGCTTTATAGCTCCACACAGCACAGCAAGCAAATTTTTTATTGCCTTCATGAAATACAAATTACAGGAATGACGAAACTGAAAGGGCGCGCGTGTGATGTGTGCTCTCATAAAACACGTGCATCCAACCAATCAGAACGCGAGATTTATAACAATTATTTTATGAGGAATTTTAAAACTAAAGTTTGCTTCAATGACGTTTTCTTTTTTTCTTTTTTCTTTAGAAATCAAAAATCGACCTCTCGGCGATAGGGACAAGAAAGTTATATTTGTGCAACCACGCAAAATGAATTCTGATGTACTTGCATGTTTCATGTTGAGAATGTTTTGTGAAAGTGCTTTCAGCTTTTATGAGATCGTCTAAACAACCGCCATATTGGACTTGCTTATCAAGATTTTCCGTTCAAAGCTACAGTATGGTGCTATTATGATGGAAACCCATAATTATGAATCTGGGAATTCGAAACAGTAGCTACTCMGCGTCCAGTTCGAGAGTGTTTAACCCGCATAACAACAAACAATTCTTATTAATTGAATTCAAGATATTCAACTTTGTGCATGTTCTACCTAATGCCCACGCACGTGCACCGCACGTGTCAGTGTCGGCGTTCGACTTTGGGTTAGTGAGCTATAATGATGGAGACCTACAATTACA